GGGGAGGAAGGGGAGGAGAGGAGGATGGGGGGGGAGGAGGAGAACGAAGTGAAGAATGGTGGGAAAAAAAAGCGGTTCGAGATGGAAAAGAAAGAATGACATGCTCTCTATTTAATCGCTTGTTTCATCAGGAGGTGGAGGGAGTGGGCTCGCGAAGAAGATTCGTTTCGTCCTTTTGTGGCCAGATGAAAACCACGGAGGTATGGCGTCGAGGGAGGGTAAAGACATTCAGGGGGGTAGTGGGGACCACCTCACGGTTGGGAGGAGGAAGATAGAGGAGGTCCGCATCGGGAGAGGACAGTTGGAAGAATTACCCAGGGGAGGGAAAGGATAGGGAGAACGAGGAAAGGGGGAGAAGGAATGGCAGCAGGGAGGAGGGAGGAAGGATTCCATCTATGGCACAGCGGCGACGTTCCTAGACAAGGGGGAAAGGAGTTTATCGCCATTGGAGGGGGAGCGTGATGTGGGAGGTAGGAGGTTCGCCGGGGATGCGGGTTCCGCCGTAAAAAGCGGAGGCTTGGACTGGAATGGTAGAGGTTCGGATGGAAAGTGTGGAAGGCCCGGATGGCAAAGGGGAAGGCTTGGACGGGAAAAAGGTGGATGTTCCTGGACGCCATGCCGTGGCAGATTCGAAAAGAAAAGGGAAAAGCTTGGACGGAGGAAGAGAAGTGTCAATGAGAGAGGGAGTGAGATTCAGATGAGTGAGCAATTTCAAGGCCAACGCGCGCGCGCGGAAGGGGATTACGATAGAGACGTCGATGAGGTTCTGGGCGGATTGCCCGGAGGAAGGGAGGCGGAGAAGACGGGGCCGATGTCGCGGACGGCGGGAACGGGCGCATTCAGAAATATTGGATTTCCTTTCTTTTTTTTTTCCTGACGTTCGGGGTGTATGCAGACTTTGTAGGGGTTCAGATAAAAGGGGGAGGGGAAGAAGCTCGGGTTCGATTAAAAACAACAAAAATAAAAATGCCGCCTTCAGATAAAAGGCTGTGTTTTTCCTCTTCTTCTTCTTTCTTCTTTCTTCTTTCTTCTTTCTTCTTTCTTCTTCTTCTTCCTTCTTTTTTCTTTCTTCTTTCTTCTCTCCAGTCCGAACTGCACGTAACCGGCGCAGAGGCATCAACACCGCAACAGAGGCATCATCAACATGGCCGGAGGGCTTTTTACTCTTTTAACCAAAGAAGCAAGAAGAAGACGGTCTCCTCTTTTCTGTTTCTGATGCCACGGTTTGCTTGTCTGTCTGTTTGTTTGTCTGCTTGTTCGTTTGTCTGCTTGTTTGCTTGTCTGCTTGTCTGCTTGGTGGTTTGTCTGCTTGCTGGTCTGTCTGCTTGTTTGTTTGTCTGCTTGGTGGTTTGTCTGCTTGTTTCTTTGTCTGCTTGGTGGTTTGTCTGCTTGTTTCTTTGTCTGCTTGGTGGTTTGTCTGCTTGGTGATTTGTCTGCTTGGTGATTTGTCTGCTTGGTGGTTTGTCTGCTTGGTGGTTTGTCTGCTTGGTGGTTTGTCTGTTTGAAGGAGAGTATCCGTACCTGTGATAGAGCCCCCCTTTAATTAGTATGTTTGTCAACATAAAGGGAATTGCAGCAGAGATGGAGCTGAGGAGCTGAGGAGAATGTCAGGGTATTTTGCTCTTCGTTCGTGTCGGATTCTCTTGGCCTGGCAGGGGAGACGAAGCTGAGGAGAATGTCAGGCGGGGGGGGGGGGGGGGGGGGGGGGGGGTTCTTCGTCTTTGATTTTGCCTTCCCAATTGGCTGCTCAAGAAAGGAGCCAGAGTTGCTGCAACAGCAATGCCTTCAACAGAAAAGAGTTGGAGAATGTAAGAACGACTCCTTCTCCTTGCTTGATTATGTACTACCGATGGAGATGTCAATACACTGAAGTTGGAAGAAAGGCGAAGGATGAGGAGAAGGAGCAACCTGAGGAGGAGGAGGAAGAGGAGGAGGAGGAGGAGGAGAAGTGGTGCTCGTTCATTTTCTGTGTTCCATTCTCTTTTTCTTTTTTTTCTTTGTTTTTTGTGTGTGTGTTCCATTCTCTTGTTCGCTTTGGCAGGAAAAACCAATTGCTTATATACACAATGGCAATGCTGTCAAGACAGTCCACTTGCAGAGGAGGCAAGGAGAGAAGCAGAACTGCGTTCGATTTCCTTTTTTCCCTCTCACTATTTATTTCGCCAAGAGTACATAGCTGCGATGGAGATATCTCCTGAGAAGAAAGCGGAGGAGGGTGCGAGGGAGAGGAGAGGAGAATTGGGGAGGGGGAGGGGGGGGGGGGGGGTAGGGGGAGGAAAGGAGAGAAGGAGCAGGATTGCGCGAGAATGAGGAGGAGCGGGAGGAAGAGGAAGACGGGTAGCAAGCAGCAGTGGTAGGAGGAGGTCGTACTAAGAAAGGAGCAGGAATCCGCAATGGCGATTCAGGCAATGCATTTGAATCTCTGTCCAGGAGTTTCATGAAATAGGAAGATTTGGACAGGGAGGAGAAGATTGTCGTGAAGGTCTAATTGTTTTTCTTTTTGTTTTTTTGTTTTTTTTTTTTTGTTTTTTTTTTTTTTTAATCGTGAAGGTCTAATTGTTTTTTTTTTTGTTTTTTTTTTTTGTTTTTTTTTTGTCGTGAAGGTCTAATTGTTTTTTTTTTTGTCGTGAAGGTCGAAATTGTTTTCCTTTCTTTCCCTTAATACGTAGGAAGAGGTCGCTGTTGCTGGCGATGATGCTTCTGCAGCAGCAGTGATGACGTTTTTGCAGCAGTGATGACGTTTTTGCAGCGGTGATGACGTCAACGCACTTGAATTGGAGGGAAAAAAAGGACGAGGACGAACTGAAAACGGCTTGAGGAAAATTCCCGAAATGGAAATGCCGCCTGCAAACTTGAACGAATAGAGCGAGGAGGTTTAGATATCGCGGCAGAGGGGTCTAGGGTTTTTCTTTATTTTTTTCAGAGGAAGAAGGTTCCTGCGATGGCGATGACAGCACTCTTGGATGTACCGGATGGCAAAGGGAGGATATGAGGAAGAGGACATGATTTTTTATTTCCTTACTTATATTCTTCTTTTCTCCATAGAAAAAGTAGGCGATAGGCAACGGGCGTACCTCGATCGTCGTCCCAAGCTTCCCGCTCAGCTGCCGCTTCCTCTCTCTCTCCAGTTCTGCTGTCCTCCTTATCCTCCCTCCTGCTCCTCCTCCTCCTCCTCCTCCTCCTCCTCCTCCTCCTCCCTCCTCCGACTCCTACTCCTCCTCCTCCTCCTCCTCCTCCTCCGCCTCCTCCTCCTCCTCTCCCTCCTCTTCCCCCTTCTCCTCCTCCTCCTCTTCTTCCACCTTCTCCTCCTCCTTTTCTTCCCACTTCTTATCCTATTCTACTTGTTCTTACTATTCACTCTTCTTCTTCTTCTTCTTCTTCTTCTTCTTCTTCTTCTTCCTCCTCCTCCTCCTCCTCCTCCTCCTTCACTGAAATTCCGACGCCATCGTCATCGGCAGCGACTTCTCCTCTTGTGGAGGTGCAGGGTCGGTGGCAAGCCCCTTGACAAGTCCTGGTGCGCGACCAGGCGAAACGCACATCGCGGAATGTGCGCGTTATGAGCAGAACTATGCCTGTGCGGGATCTATGGAGTTTCCATTGTTCTGATGCATGGATGCTCAGCGATTGGCCTCGCTATCTCATTTCAATCCATTTCTTCTTCTTCTTCTTCTTCTTCTTCTTTCTTCTTCTTCTTCTTCTTCTTCGCCTCCTTCTTCTTCTACTACTACTACTGCTTTTCTTCTTCGTCTTCGCCCCTCGGCTTGTTGGCCTTTATTCCTCTCTCCTGTCTTCTTCTTTTTCTTCTTTTACTTCTTCATCGTCTTCTTCCCCTTCGCCTACTTCCTCCTCCTCCACCGTAATTTCGTCGCCATTGTCATTGACCGCGAATAACACACATGACAGCTCCGAAACACACGCGGCACCTTGGC